TTCATGTGTGTTATGCTGTATTCAATTCTCACAAAAATGAAAATAAGTGATACAAAACTTTTTAAATTATATTGAAGAATACAAATTATATGTTTAATGATCAAATGAGATATCTCTTATAGAACTGTTAAGCAAAAACTGATCAAAAAGTTTCAAAACAAGATGTTCCTCGCGACATCTGTTAAGATGCTTGTGCGTTTGGTTCTATGTGAGTGTGGTGTGGGTTTGTTTGCCTGTGTGTTTTTTCTTTTTTTTCTTGAGTTTATGTTTTTGTTTGCTCGCATAATTTTTTCGTTAACTTATAGTTTATATCTTTGTATGTTTGTGTGTATTATACTGTAGGAAGTTTTAGAATGGCTAAATTTTAATATTAAAAAATATATAAAAAATGAAAATATTTATAAATAACAAAAGCGCTATAAACTGCTGCAGAGAAAAAGGTAAGTGTTTCCTTCTCACTAGATAAACTATATAATTTAAAGTAAAGAACGAACAACATTCAAGGCATAAGAAACAGTATTTGTATTAATAATTCAGAGAACTATTTTTGTAAACCAAAAATATGACGATGAATGGGAATGGACATAGTTAGGATGATGAAAATAATAATTAAGATGATGAAGATGTTTTTCTGGGAGGATGACAAAAACGTCATCATCGATAATAATGAGCTCCCACGCAAGGCGGATTAGTGCTGGGTCATTATCCACTAATTGAGATCTTCTAGGCAGTCTAATTGAATGCACATGTTCATCAGTTCATTTGCCAGTCTCTCTCTCTCTCTCTTTCTCTCTCTCTCTTCTCTTTCTTTCTTTCTGCTTTTCTTTTCTCTTTCTTTTCTCTTTATCCTTTTAACTATTTTATTCTCCACATATTTATGTCCAGGTATTAAAAGACACTGTTATATTTGTTTATTCACGTGCTAGCTTTTAATTTTGCAAAATTTTTTTCATTTTAATTAAAATTTTTGCCAGAATTCCTAAAGCTGCTGCTGAGTTTTCTGAGGAGGCTTCGCTTGAAAACTCCATTCAGCCACGATGCACATTTCTTTTACCAGATATCACTGTTCGTTAGGATTCATTTCATTTTATTTTTTCAATTCATACAATTGTTTCAATTGTTCCAAGTCATTAGAAATGGAAGAATGAAATGGAAAATTTAAAAAATATTTTTATAGAACATTTGTGTTAGAACATTTCAATTGAGTATTATTCTTCAGCAACAACAAAACACTCTTGTTTATTGTTTGAAAAACTTGAATAAAAATTTCCGCAGAAAAAGTTGAAATATAGTTATTATAATTAAACACTCCCAAATAAACTTATCGTATTCATGTTGACGAAACATATTTTATGAGGTACAGGCACACAAGAACGCACATATAAACTTACACACACACACACACACACACACACACACACACACACACACACACACACACACACACACACACACACACGCACACGCACACTTCTACGAGGCATAGAGGATGAATGTACATTTGTATGTGGAGTTGTTTGCATATGCGAGGAGGAACCTAAATGATGTTGTTGCGTGCTTTCATCGATCAGAAGATCGTTAGTGTCAGAAAGGAACAGAACGACGCTTAAACGATCATTTGTCTTCTTCCATGTTCTCCCGCATTTTGTTTCGTATCTTTTACTCTGTTTATCTTTGTTGATCGCTCTTCTAGTCCGCTTTTATCGCAATTTTTCTAATTTTCTGTATATATATTTTTCTATATATTTCTATTTGTTTGTTTACGTGTTTTTTTTATCTCTCTTTTCTCCCTTTCTCGCTTTCTTTTCTCAATTTTTTCTTTATTATTTGTAGTTGTTTATCGCTATATGTATGTAATGCGTGCCTACAAATTATTGTTAATTAAGCAGAACGACATATTAAAATAACATCATCAAATGCACGATTGGAGCAAAGAAGTGGGCAGACAATGTACTTACACACACACACACACACACACACACACACACACACACACACACACACACACACACACACACACACACACACACACAAACACGTTCACACAAACAAACACACACAAAAACAAACACACATTTATGAACTGAAATAGATGAAAAGACATCAGAATGCACCATAGCGCTGCACTCAGAAATTATTTCCAAATTATGAAAGAACACGCACGAAGAACAAACGAATAAGCGAACAAGCGGGCGAACGAACGAACAAATGAACAAACAAACAATTGAAAGACACATCAATGTTTACCTACCTGTCTACCAAGCAAAGATAAACACGCAAACCTATGTCCTACACACCAATATAACAATCAGAATGTAACGTCAAATGGTATAAAACATGTTGTTGTCGTATTGGTAATATGACAAAATTTATTGATTTGATATTGATATTGTGTGTGCCTGTGTTTGTGTGCCTGCGTGTTGTATATACATCTTCAGTATAATTGTTATTGTAAAAATATAATATGTACGCAGAGGAAGTCATATTCCACAAAGATGTTTTCACTCATTGTTACTCAGTGTTACTCATCAACAACATAATTGAATTGTAACTTGCTTTCATTGAAACATTTCGGTGGATTCAGACAAAATACAATTTGCTGTAAAGCAAAAGAGCATGGAAAATCCCATTCATAACAACAAGACCAACGGCGTCATTGCCCCAAGATTGGATTGATTTTGATTTGAAAAAACTTCCAATGCACTTAAAATCAATGTGGCATACTAAAATTCTTTCGCAATTCTAGTTTAAAGAGCCTTCAAATAGAAATACAAAAACAAGAATAAAAATAACAATAATAATAATAATAATATTAGTAATAAAAATAATAATAACAAAAAGGTATGATTTGTATGGCGTCACGTTGTCACCAGCATCAATCACCGTCTCCATCCATCGTCATCAGTTCATTGCAGGTAAAATTTGTTTCCGCGAACACCTGGAGAGCACACGCCATCTTCTCTTCCGCTAAATATTTGTGATTAAAATATAATTGACGTGTCTGCCTGCCGAACGACGGCTAGGAGCACATCCCTAATTAGAGAGCTAACCAGTCATGGCCGGCCTACAATTATTTTCTCATCAAACAACATGTTTTCACATTTTCCTGTAGGTGTATTCACACACACACACACACACACACACACACACACACACACACACACACACACACACACACACACACACACATATATATATATATATATATCATTTAATTAATCACATATATAATATGAAAATTATATTCAACTAAAAAACCTCTTTCTTTATTCATATGCAAGCATTAAATGAACCAAACGAACGAATAACGCATTCATACACACCCGTATCCTCCACCAACATCATCATCATCATCTGACACACCTAAACACACACACACACACACATACACTGACATAAACATACAAAGATATGATGATATGTTGAATGAGAAACAAAAAGCAGGATGAATCTTCATTGAGCCCGTGTTATTTAGTTGCATATGAGACATGGGTCAAGGATAAGCTAACATACGGCTTTTAAAGGCAGGATATCCCGGACGCTATTGTCCAAGCAATCTATCATTGAGACTCTGCAACGGATGAAGTTAATAGGTGGATGGTTGCCGTGGTGATGATGTCGTTGCGGCAACGATTGTTGCTGCAGTTGTTGTTGTGGTTGTTGTTGTTGCAGTTGTTATTGTGGCTGTTGTTGTTGCAGTTGTCATTGTGGCTGTTGTTGTGGCTATTGTTGTTGTGGCTGTTGTTGTTGTTATGATCGTCACCGTGGTTTCGGTTGCTGCAGTGATTGATCACGTGCAACGACATGACGATGACGTAGTAATTGCCGCAAGTTAGTGACGTCACCAATGGTGATGACGTTTTTCCGACGAATATGATGGTGATTCGAAAATAATTTTTTCTTGTTTTTAACGATAATTGATTGAACATATTTTTGTTGTAGGTATATTATTTAATAAAATTGCGTTTTTGAGAGATGAATTCAGTTAAAATTCTTTTATTACATGCGTCATCTTCACAATTATGGCGTTGATAGTCACAATCATCATCGCCTCCACCACCATCATCATCATCATTCTCTGACAGTATCATAATCATCGCTGACCAGTGACCAGTATCATTATCATCACTGTCATGCGCACAAGGTGTAATAAAGTGATTCAAAAATATGTCAAGCTTTGCACGCAACTCTGTGCCATCATTATCATCATCGGCGTCATCATCATCATTACCGCGGAAGCATCATCATCAGTATCATTCACATTTTCAGTAGCATTATCATCATCATCATTGTCAGGATCATTATCATTGCCATCTTCATCGCCCTCTTCATCGTCATCATCAGCATCATTGTCATCATTATTATCATATCTTCATCATCAACATCATCGTCATCATTATCTTCGTAATCTTCATCATCATCGTCATCACTTTCAGTTTCTTCTTAGTCACTGTACGATTTCTGCTATTCTGACAACATTGAATAAAAAATAGAAAAAATTATTATTCATGTACGTGAAAAGAGGAAGGCAAAGTTTGCGAAAAGAGTATATATATATATATATCATTGAAAAAATTTGATGATGACGTCATAATTATGATGCGTCTTCATAATTTGATGATGACGTCATAGCTATGTTGCACCTTCATAATTTGATGGTGACATTTGTCGTCGAAATGTAGCCCAAGATAGATCATGTCACATCTCAGATATTTTGGTAATCTATTTATAGTAATGCCGTAATGATTGTTTATTTATGGCAATTTTAGTAATAATAATAGAAATAATTATTAATATAATTAATATTATTATTAACATAAAATTTTATTATGTAAAAAACAACTTAATTTATAATAAAATTTATATAAATTTATTATATATATATATATATATATATATAATCTTAATAATTTTTCACAATATAATAATATTTGTACAGTTCGCCTAATATCTTATTGTTAGTGACATGATTTCGCTTCTAATGCGTGTATGTGTAACTTATGGTTTTCTGCCAGGAACCATTAGAAAGAAACAAAAGGTACCTTAGAGATCAACGAGCAAGTTAACATCCATCCAAACAAAATGCTGCTTCCTATAAACGCGCTCTGGATTGATTGATCGTCCAGTGATCAATAGCTGAAATGTTTTCACGGGGCATGTGGGCATGCGAGCTTTTCCATAAGTTGGAAAACTTTGCAGTTTTTACTTTACAAAATTGAAGTGATAAGACAACTAAACTGAGTTGATAAAATAAATTAAGCAGCATCTTTAATAAAAAACATAGTCAAGTTGTATAAATCACGATGTTAACAACAAAGAGACAAACGTTATTGCTAATATCACTTAGCATAAGAGCAAAATTTTGTTGTTGTAGTTGAGAAAATCATATTAATGAAAAAATAAACAAAACAATAAAACTTCAAAGTCGTATAGATGGTCTTAAAAGTAGGAAAGTTAACATTCTGAGAGCACGTGATGTCAGAGTGACGTCAACACTTTTTGTCATTTTCCGTATTGAGAAACCACAAGTGCTTGGACTTTCATCATTTATGAAAAGTTCATCTGGCCAGAAGGTTTGCCATGCCTCTCTGAATTCATCATCGTCATCGTTTTCATTATCATCATCGTTATTGCCATCATAGTTGCTTTCATCATCATTATCGCCACTTATCATTATCACTATCACCATTACCATCACTATCATTATAACAAGTTTCATTTTCAGCATCTGCATCTTGGTCAATGGCAGGTTAAACGTGTTGCATTTGGTCGATCATAAAACTTATTTTAAAATGTAAAATGAGCGTTAATGAAAAACTTTAAAAAAATTTTCACAGCTAAGAATGTTATATTTACAAATAAATATTTAAAAAGCACACTACAAACAAGCAGCAAGCCCAACACACGCACTTAAACTTAAGCAAACACACACAAACATAAAAATGAGTGCACTCGAAGACACACGTCATATACACACAAACACTCAAAAATACACACAAACATACTGACAAACGAAATCGTAATCCGAACGATACCCAGTTTGCAATTATAGAAAGCAGCGAAGTCATAAAACAGTGTTCTCCAAGAAAGACAAAATGAGTCTGGAGATAAGAGAATAAACGAATAAACAAAGAACATTATGCGCCCGCCACACACAAAGACCAATTCATACAATGAACAACAGTACACACTGGCTATGCAGGCACTTGTCTTTTTATGTCTGCTGATGTCGGTTTATGACGCTTAAATTTGTATTCATACTTTTGGATCCAAATACGGCACATATAAACACATATAAATATTCATCAGTGCTTACATTCAATTTCTGGCGCAAAAATATAACTATATTTATCTTTAAAATTTTTCCCGACCAGTTTAAAAACAAAGCAAGTTGAGTTTTGTATTCTCAGAAAGATAAGGCTAGCATTAGAGTTGCTAGTCCTGAAATGTTTCTTCAATCCCTACACAAGTTTCTTCATCTGGGTATGCAATCGTGTAAAGAGCAGGCAGAAGCATAGCTACACAACACCACACAAAACCACACAACTCAACACAACACACACAGCACCCACAAGATAACATTGAAAACTGATCAGTCTTCGATTCCGACGACAACCACACAGCCATCAAATTATTTAATTATTAGATAAAAACAGTATTAGTGATTGAAAAAAACTAAATGCCTCCTCTATACTAGATACTTTACAAGAGATTTAGAGATAAGATACTTCTCTATGGTGATGTTGATAAAATATTTATTTCATGTGATTTATTAACAATTTTAAATCTTCAATCTTTTTAAAATAGTAATTTAAAGAACAAATCATCATAAAACATTTGCCGTTTGAAACTGCTCTTTTGAAATCAGATGAATTTAAACTACCTTTCAAACAACATAGCATAGATCTAGGTAGAAATTTATTGACCCGGCATTCTCAAACTAAAATAGACGCACATACATTTCTTTAAATTTCGAAAAAACGAGAAAAAAAAACAATGAATACTCGCATATAAATAACAAAAAGTATTCAGAAAAAGTTTTTTGTTCCTTTTTTTTACTATTCAGTGTATTCTGAAGAGTCGAGACACGCACCATTTAGTGTTCTATTTCCGATTCACTCATTTTTAGATTTTATATTTCAAGAGAGGAAAATAATAGCCAAGCCATAAAATGACTTCTATTCACTTGTTTTTATATATAATTAATTAATTAATTTCATTTGTTTAAAATATTGAATAAATTAATTGTTAATTGATTATATTATTCATAATTTGCTAAAATTATTTAATTAAATTGATGTGTAAACTTTGTTATCTTATTTAATACGTAGACCTAATTTCTTATTAACTATCCATAGTTATTCTTTGCTTCTACTACAACTACTACTGCTGCTGCTACATTTACTACAAGTTGCATTTACTACAAACTACTTCTACTATTACTACCACTACAACTGTTACTACTACTACTACTACTACTACTACTACTACTACTATTACTACTACTAATACTGCTACTACTACTGCATTACTACATTTTTTGCTAAGAGGAACCAAACCATATTGGCACAACAATTACAAAAGATATTGATGTTCCTTATTCCTAAGTACAAATACCTTTAATAGCACTTAATACCAATGCCATTGTTTGGAAACATTTGGCAAATGAGAATTTCTTCAGCCAACAATCTCCAAGATTGAAATTGGGCAATAAAAAATGCAATGAAACAGATCATTCACTCTGGATGATGCTACTGTTCTTTCTCTCTCTCTCTTTCTCGCGTTTTCTTTTCATATATTTCTCTTGTTCTCATTTTCTATATTTATCTTATGTTTTCTTTCTCTCTTTCTTACTCTCTCTCTCTTTCTCTCTCTCTCTATTTCATTTCCTTCTCATTCTTCATTAAAATTTTGAAATTTTCTCTTCCTTCTGCTAATTCATCATCAGTTTAATGTGGTTCGGATGGTTTTAGATAGACCAACAAACTGCATTTTTTGCTGGGATGAAATTTAATTTTCAAAAAAAAGTATTTAAAAAAGTTTAAAGGTAGAATAATACGTTATAATATAATTTATTTTATAATTAAATATAATTTATTTTAAAAAATTCAGTTTGACATCAAGAACATAACTTAACTTTTAAATGTATTAACACAAGTTACTGACTGCTGAATCATCTTTGAACAGCAATTTTCACATTTTAAATTTTCTAACAAATTAAATTAATAAAATTTTACGTATCACGTGTGTGTGTGTGTGTAGATAAGTGTTTGTAAGCGCCATTTAAAAAGATCTCAGAGGCGAAACATACACATGTGTGTGTGTGTTTGTGTTTGTTTTTGTTTGTGTGTGTTTTACTAAATAGGATTGGAGAATGAAAAGTAGAAAGGATAACGCATTCCAGCTAACAGTAAGTAGATACGCACATTTCCCCACGTAACGACGCCATGCAATATGAAGTAATATAAAATATGCAATGATGTTTTTATTTGCAAGCCAGCATATGAAATGAACTGTGAGAGCAATGAGTTTGTGTTATGTGTTGGTGTGTGTGTGTTGTTGTTGTTTGGTTGTTTTATGTACGTTGCTGTGTTTGTTTGTTATGTTTGTATGTTTTGTCTCATTTTATTTTTTGTTTATTGTGATTTAAGGTGTATTTAATTTCGTTTAATTAGACTATTTGAAAGACATTAGGTTTAATTTTGACGTGTTGTTAGTGTTGTACCGTTTGATTTTGTTTAGTTAGTATTTGTTAGTATTTGTATCACGTTACATTTGTAATTGTTTGTTGTGTCATTCGGTGGAAGCACACATTCTGTTTGTGTGGTTTCATCTGTCGATTGTATTGTAAGTTCTTGTGTATTACCGACTGGTTACGAAATGTCGTCTGTGCTGCAAGGAGCCATGATTTAATGTCGCATTGTCACAAAGGCAGTTGAATGCAATATCATGAGTTTGTTGTTCACTTTGATGGATGAAAGGATTGATTGATGGATGGATGGATGGATGGATGGATGGATGAATGGATGGATGGATGGATGGATGAATGGATGGATGGATAAATGAATGGATTGATGGATGCTAACATATATGCGATTATTGTTTGCAATATTTTCACTTTAGTTCTTTCCGTTATTCATGTGGTTGTTGTTTCTCATTTTGTTGTTGTTGATGCTGTTATACTAGTTTTGGTATTTTTTTGTCTTGTTGTTATTTGTTAATATTTTTATTCTTTTTGTCATTGCAGTAATTGTTTCTTATGTTTTATGGCGTTGCATATGTCTGATTGCATTCATTCAAATTCATATTGTAGATATTGAATGCGTTTGCTTTGTAATACCGACTACTTGTGCATATTCACATAAGTTTGTTCTTATTCATACGTTATGAATTTCGGTCTGCAAAGCTCTATGTTCATCGTATGCTTTATTGATTCTCGTCTTTCGCAATATTCGCTGGATGCAATTGCAAATGTCTGATTGTTGCCGAGCACAACTGATTGCTTTCGCTTGCAAGTTATTCATTCGCTTGTTGCACGCAGCACATTGCACAGACACACAGACACACACACACACACAGACACACACACAGACACACACACAGACACACACACACACATATCAGTGTATGTGTGTGTAGCTTGACTGCTTATTTTGCGAAACTTCACATTTTTGGTTTTTAAGATCTTAAAAAATGTTCTCCATTCAACTAAAACCGTAAATATTGTTTTTTTAAACTTGAAATTAATGCCAAATCGCAAAAATATTTGATCTGATGTTGAAATGAAAATTTCGTTTAAAAAACTATCACCAGCTATTTTTTATGAACGCTAATCTGGAAATTAAATTTGTTTTTTTTTGTTGAGTTTGATCACGTTCATATATTATAATATAACTGTTGATACTATTGAATTGATACTTTTAAAAGGTATTATTATCCACTCTTTACAACGTCCAAACATTCCTACTTGGAAGCAAATTTGACGCTCAGCCTCTAATAACACTCTCCACATATAAGATAGCTGTGGAGTTTGGTGTGAATGTTGAAGCAGCTATAATGATGGTCGTCTGTGGGGGTGTCATTCTTAACTGCAACTACATCTTCACAGTTTATTCAATAGAGAACAATATATTATAATTACACCAAGCTAATCGTGTTACGAAGACAAAAATAGAAGCGAGCTGCTAGAATCGTTGTCAATGTAAATAAGTGAGAATCTTGAAGAAATTTCACAATTATCGTTGATTGGATGTGTTTTGAGGTATCTTCCAAACTCAATCAACAATTTTCTGATCTATATTGTAAGTCTTTACATATGTAAAAAAAAAACTGTTCACGTGTTTATTTAAAAATATGCACATATAAACGCACACACACACACACGCACACACACACACACACACACGTATATGTAGAAGACATATATACACATCGGTCCACACAATGAATAATCACGCAGATAGATAGTTAGCATGGAATATGAATGACTCAATGTGTTAGCAAAACCTATCTTTAACATGTAGTTGCTGTGTTGATGTCGTGTTGTTGTTGGCGTGTTTGTTGTTTTTTAAACTGTTATTGATGATTTAGTTGATGTTGTAATTGTTGTTTTTGATGTTGTTGTAACAATTGTATTGTTGTTATTGTTGCTTGGGTTAACTTAGTTGCAGTTGGTGTTGTTGATGTTGTTTATGCTGATGTTGATGGTGTTTAGGTTGCTGTTGTTGATGATGTTGTAGTTGTTGATGTTGTAGTTGTTGATGATGTTGTTGGTGATGTTGTAGTTGTTGATGACGTTGCTGACAGTTGATTGGGGCAATTTAGTTGTCCGTCCTGTCAGCTTTTTGACTGGCTGATTGGGTGTTCGGTGGAGATAATGATCGCGTTTAAATAAACAATAAAAATAATATAAAAGTACGTTTAATTAGCGTGTAGAAACTGAGTATATTAGTATCAGTATTTACTAGAGTATTACTTCTTTTTGTTTCCATTTTGACAGATTGTTTACTCAATCCATTTTTATGATTTATTCATTTAGTATTTTATTAGTTGTTCCACAGTCAGCAGAGTGCAATTGAATCAAAGTCAGTTATTTCATATTTGGTTTTGAAAATATTTTATGTAAAACTTTGTCCAAAGATGAAATTTTTTTGAAATTTTATAAATAACAACACAAAGAAATTAAATTAATCATTTGAAATAACTTTTTGTAATTTTATATTTCATTTTAGTTCATATACTCTACCTATTAATTTGTTTTATCCAATTTATTATGCTAATTTTTGCACTTGTAAAAGGTTGACTTTTGTATGAAGAGCGCGTACTATAAAATACTAATTATGCTTTTTTACTAAATTTACTATTCTTAAAGAATTCTTCATAATAAATTTGCCTAAAGTCGTTTTAATTTAATTATTCTGGAATTTAGTGGAGCGAGAATTTCCAATTATGTACTTGGAGGCATGGAGCTTCTTTGGGCATCGTAAATCAGCCGTCAAGACGACCATTTGTTATACTTAACGAGTTAGAGGTCATTTGAAGGTCGTTTGAAGGTCATTTGAAGGCCGTCCATCATAACTGTAACCACTAATC